GGGGCCCAACCGGGGGTGTTTAGGGGCTTTTTGGAAAGTGGCCCCTTGTAAAACTTTTTTTTTCCTTTTTTTTTTTTTTTTTTTTTTTTTTGTTCCCTCCCCTTCCCCTCCCAGGCTCTCGATTTGAACAGGCTTCCCTTTCCCAAGGTGCGTACAGGAAAAGGACACCAGGGTTTATAATGTGAACTGTTAACAGTCCTACTGGTTTATTTTGTAATATTTTTTTTTAACTGCAGTTTTAACTTGCAGGATGCCACATTCTACGATAGTTCTGATTTTAAATCCACAGCTAGAATCTGTATTTAATTTCATCTTTTTTAACCTCTTGCTTTTTTTTGATCTCTATTTATTGATGCGTGTTGCCACGTCGCCATTATGTTTTTACATTGGTAGAATATTAATAAAATACACATCCGAGTGCTCTCGACAGTAATTTGTACCTGCTGACTTGTAGGAAAGCTGGCTATATGAGTGTGTGTGTATATATATTATATAAATATATACATGTATACATAGATACAATACTGCTTTTTTTATTTTGTCTACGATCTCAAAACAGTCTGACTGAAGCGTGAGGTGAATGCTTGTTCTAGTCCATCTGTTCAGAGTCCGGGTTTCCTCCCTGCGGCGGCGCGTGGTGTGAGCACCCATGTCTCTCTTCCTGAAGTCAAAGCAATATTCCTCGGGAAAGGGTCAGGTGAGCGGCCGGACGCAGCCGCGGCGTAGAAACGAGACTTTTGGAGACCTGATCTTGTCATAGGCTTGCGGTCGGTGTCCGCTCGGGCCTTATCCTCCTCCAGAGAAACTGTAGTCACCTTTGGTGCTTACGAGCTGTTATTCGACCTGCGGATCTCGAAGGCAAGCGGTTGCTTTTCGGGAACGCGTGGACCTTCGCGCAGCCCGGGGGTAGCCGACAGTACCGGGGGTTGCCAGCTTCGGCAAGCGCGGCCGCCGCCGCGCGGCCGCCGCCGCGGCGGCAGGGGTTTTGCTCACGAGCTCGGTGCGTTTCTTCTTGTACTTTTTATCCTGTTGGCGTGGGATTCTTTAGAAACTGTCTCTTAGCAGCCCTGGAACTGGTAAAAGCCCTGCCCTCTCCCTCCTGCCTGACACGCGGCGGATTTCGGGGAGGCAGGAGCTGTTTCAAGAGGTGAGTGACCACCTACCGTGAAACCGATAAACGCTCATGTTATACCCCTCGGCGATCTGCTGTCAGGCACACACACACAAAAAAAAGAGGCTTTAAAGCTTTTAGCTGTCGTTAAATTCTGGCTGGCTGCAAAGGAAAGCACGCCCATGTTTAGAAACGGAACGCTTTCCAAATCCTTCCATGCCACTTACTAGGAAGGGCTGAAGAGCATCTTAATGCGAGAGCTCGGCTAGTCAGTGTCCCGAAAGGTAAGTGGAGGGGCTTGGTTGACCCAGTGATCCAGATCAATGCAGGAGACTCAAAAAGTGGGACAGTGGCAGGGTATGGATCTGCTGCGTAGGCGAGACTGCTGAAGCATTGGCCGCAGACGCTGTTATTTGGAGGCAGTAAATTACCGAGTCTTTAAAAAAAAAAAAAAAAAAGAAATAAAAATAATAAAAAAAAATTGCTGCTTGTGCCAGGAAATGTGGCTTTTCCTCTTTTTCATTTTATCTTTTCGTTTTAAGACTGGCGGAGGGGAGTTAAGAGCTTTTCTCTCTGGTTTTGTGACTGTGCCGGCGTCTGCGTGTGTCTTGTGTGTGTGTTAGGTGGGGGGGAGGGTCGGGGGTGCCCCTCTGGTTTTGTTTCTTTTTTTCAAGGATCATGGCAGGATCACACACTCTTTTATACAAGTTAGATCCAGGTCTTTGAATAACCTTTTTTGTAAATAAGAAGAAAAAAAAAAAAACCACAAAAAAAAATCAACAACAAAAAAAACAAAGCTCCTCACCAAATTCAAGCTTGTACATTATTATTTTTGGTTGTTTTTGAATTTTGAGTTTTATTGTTTTGTATGTAAATATGTGGACCCAGGAACTGTTATTAATGAGCAAAAAGTTACTGTTCAGGGCAGTGATTCTGTTTAATAATCAGACAAAATGTAGACGAGCTTTTTAAAGCCATATAGTTTTAACTCTGTACAGTATTTTACCGGCCTGTATTATTGTAACAATAACTCTAGCGATGTATAGTGTATCTATATAGTTTGGAGTGCCTTCGCTTCCATGATTTTTTGAATTTTATTTCCTCCCCCCCCGGCCTTTATTAACGACGTCTCCCACCCCATGCCCGCATCTTTGCCCTCCCCCCCCTGCTTTCTAACTCTTTGAGTGCTGTAAGGTTT